GTAAATATTAATTTAGTTTAATAAAAGGTCGGATCATTTTCAGGTTGAGACAATTACATACTAGGTTTATAACAGGTCATGTTGATAATAGGTAAGGTAATATCAGTTATTTATCGGGTTAATCTCGAGTTCGGGTTCATATCAAGTTGGATGTAGGTCGGCTTCGGTTATCACATTATCATGTACAATTTGAGTTCATGTCGTTCTCAGGTTGGATGTAGGTCGTAATTTTTCAGGTCGAACTTAGATTCAGGTCAACACTAATTTAGACTCTAATCGATTTAAGATTACCACCACCCTGAATCATAAACAATTTTAATTCAAGTCGATTTCAATCAATTTTGTAAGTAGATCAATTTTTTACTTCCTCAAACTAATCTTCCACGTGAAAATTGAGAAAGACAATCTGCTTAAAGATTATGTCACTGCTGGTGCATTATCTTTAGGGATAATATCATGGAATCTTCTTCTAGTCTTAAACATAAAATGTTAAAAAATATTATAATACAAGTTTCGAAAGACGTAGACACCAGTTTTTGTCCGAGCATTTAAAAATTATTATTATTAATTATTATAATAATTATTATTAATCTTGTTTATAACTTTTACAGGCCCAATACAAGCTAATTCAGGGCCCAATTCAAGCCATACTCAGAGCCCAATTACAAGCCCAAAGTACTCAACCCGGTTGGAGCCTTATGCCAGATCCAAAGCTATTTAGGGTTTGTTACCCTAATTTCATCAACCACTACTGCGCGCTAATAATCTCCAGCCACCGTTTGAGCCGATCGCTGAGCCCCGAGCCATCACCGATCAGAGTCCATATCAACAGTGATGGAGAGACAAACACAAACCAAAGTCAAAAGCAAATCCAACAACTCTTACCTAAACTAGTCAGTATCTTACCAAAAACAAAGAAAATGCAGATACGGACATGAAGATTCGGTGAAGAGACCAAGCATAAATTAAAGGGTTCGAACAGACCAAAGAGGAAGGAACAGAAAAAAAAGAGAAAAAATCGATTAGAAAAATAAGAGAAAATATTTGAGTGAGAAAACAAAAGGTATCTTGTAAATCATTCGAAATCTATCAATAAAAATCCAGAATTTCAGAAAAAAGAAAGCAATACAAAACACGATCCACTATTTCTTTCAAGGAATATTTTTTATGTACATGTATTTTTTTTTAAATATAAGATATAAACAAATGAAAGATGAGTTTTTTTTCCCTTTGAAATCTCGGTTTTCCTTCGATAGAGGATCGTGGGTTAGAGACTAAGAAAAGAGAGGAGTCTTCGGAGTTAGATCCGGCCACCAAGATATGGTGGCCGGCCGTTTTTATTGGGGCCTAAAAAGAGGTTCGTCGGTGTGGTGAGTAGAGAGGGAAGATGAGTGTTGAGAGAAAAAATGAAAGTAATAACAAAAGAGAGGCTAGGGTTTTACCTAATGGTTAAAATGTGATTTTTATAGGCAAGAAAAATGGAAAAATTATATTGAAGCCATTTCAGTTTTAACTGTGTTTTACATTCACTGAAATTTATACGTTTTATTTTTATTTTATTTTAGATGGTTTAGTTTCATTAATTCTTATTTAGTCATTAGTCAATTATATATTATATTTCAGTTATTCTGATTTCGACTTCCTATTTGTATATATATCTTATTTTAGTCATTAACCTTCTAACTGCTACTTTATTGTTTGAACTAATATCCTTATATTTATGTTATTGATTTAAGCTAATATACTAAATTTTTATTTTGTTACTGTTGTTAGACAATTAATATTTTTATTTTATTGCTTAATAACACCTAACTTTTAATTTTATGAAATTTAATGTTTATGTTTTTTATATTTCCGTTACTTTAAATTTTAATATTTTATTTCCTTTTAAGTTCCAATATTTCATTGTTGTCTTTTAATTTAAGGTTCTTTTATTTCAATCACCACCCTTGTTGCTTGCTTAAATGGAAAATTTTCATATATTGAATATATAGTTTCTAATTTTTTTATTTCCCCTTTTGTCATTTAATATTATGACATTTATTTTTCACTGTAAATATTTGGTTTTTATATTTATGCATGATTTTTACATTCCTTTTAAATGTTTGTTTCCTTAATTCATGTCATGATCCCTTTGATTTCCCACTATAACTTAAAATATGATATGTTCTTAATTACCTTATTTATGTGTTCATATTATAGCCTAAAAAATAAATAGGTGTAAATATTATGCTATAAATATATATATTACAATTTATTACCAAAAATATATTTGTGTTTTAACGTATAATAAAAGCATCTTTATTAGACATATATATGTAAATTCCCTCATAAATAGTCACTCCTATTAAATATGTATATATTATGTACGTACAGTATACCTTTTTTTATATATATATTTGTTACCTATGTTAAAGTATGTTTTGTATTATATTAAATATATATATATAACCTATCCCTTATAAATAGTTACTTCCATTAAATATGTATATATTATGTACGTACAATATTTTTTCAATTTGTTACATATATTAAGCATGTTTTGTATTATATTAAATATATATATATATATATATATATTTGTATTATCTCCTATAAAAATAATTATAATTTTTGATTAAATAAATGGTTGTATTCTATAAAATATATTTCGGACTCTTTAATCTTTTTGACTCATTGCATTTATTATTTCAATTGTTTTTGAAAATTGATATCTTTTAAATAAATTCAAATAAATAACAATATCGTAGTTTAAATATATTTTTTAAGTTAGCAATTCCCAATTAAAAAATATATATAATCGTTTAGGTACCAAAATTTGGGCGCTGTGGAGGTGCTAATCCTTCACCACGTGTAATCGACTTCCGAACCCGTTTTAATCGAATCTTTGGTAAACGCATACCAACTTTTGTCTTAAAAAATGATTTTTTTTAAAAGAAGTTTTTAGGTATTCGACCTACCTAACCCAAAGATCGATGACGACTCTATCCAATTTAATTCAAAATCACATATTTTTCAAAATTAAAGTCGTAATTGTTTTTAAAACGAGAAGAAATTGTTTTGAAAAAAAAATGGTTATGACAGCTTGGCGACTCTGCTGGGAACTTCGAGAGTCAAGCTATAAATGATTATACATTGTTTTTATTTTTGGGAATTACAAATTTAAATTGTATTTAATTTACGATACTTTTATTTATTTTGAGTTTTAACATGTTGTGCATTATTTTTACTAATTGATTTTGATTTAAGTGTTTTTCAGATTCGAACAGATTTTTGGAAAGTGTGAGAGTGTTGTTGTTGTCGCGTTTTTTTTAAGGTTTGTGAGTTTCTCCTCACACATGACACGTAGCTCACTTAAGAGCTTTGTCCCTTTTAAGTTGAGATGAAAGCTTAGCCTATGTGAGATAATTTGTTTCTCCGCACGGGCTTTAGCAAGTAATCTTTGGGGTTCATATACCTTATGTCTACGTGAGATAAATTGTTTCTCTGCATGGACATAAGGGAATGTATCCTCTCGAATTGAACTCAATCTGCATTAGCCTGTAATGGGCCAAGATTGAGGGTTTGGCAGCCTAAGGAGGCACCAACATGGACAATTCGAGTACTTTTTTCTTAGAACCTAACACAACATATAATAAGCCCTAGTAATCCACCTTGATAAAATTCATGCCGAACCTCTGTCTGTCAGTAGATACCTAAAATAAGTGTACACAAAGGAGAAACGACACTAAACCTCATTTCTTTATTTACTTGTATTATTTTATTTTCTAAATCAAGTGAAATAAAAAAAACATGTGGAAGGTTGTTGCATTTATTTTTTATGATATTTGCTTATTATTTGGATTCTTGTATACTGACATTTTCTATGTTTGATTTTTTTTTGGCATTGCATAATCATCATAAATAAAAGAAAGGCGTTGGTTAACCAAGTAATCATCAGAATAGAAGAGTGGTCATCAAGATGGAAAAGAGTTTTTATAACAAGGAAGAACCCAATTCATCAGTCCGAGCCTGGTCTGAAGAGATGTAAAAAGTAAAAGGAGATAGTTTGCCTGAAGATTATGTATCGCAGATATCCACAGATGTCAATGTTAATTTCAAGCAGAACAATTTACAAGAATTGATAGAGATTTGGGAAAGTTGGAGAGTACCTACCAAAGAGAAGTTCTATAAGAAATATGGTGACATAGCCCAACTGCTTTATGTAAAGATAGAGGAACCATTGCTCAAGGCTCTGGTTCGATTCTGGAACCCCGCGTACAGTTGTTTCACTTTTAACAAACACGATTTGACGCCAACAATCGAGGAGTATACAGCTCCATTTAACTTCGAAAGCCTCCAGGTGGATAGAATTTACTCCAGACTTTCAAAAGTCCAATCCTTCAAAAGTAAACTAGTAAAGATTACTGGTACAGGCAAAAATTGGATAGTCGAGCATATTCAGCAAAAAGGAGAAAGTGAATGTTTTCCTTGGCATTGTCTCAAAAAGGTGATACTCGAGCATATAGATGAAGATAATAGATTGGACATATTTTCTCTTGCCATATATGGTCTGGTGATTTTCCCAAAGACCTTGTTCCACGTAGAGGCCGCGGTTGCAGATTTCTTTGACAGACTCGAGAAGGGCATAAATCTGACACCGACAGTTTTGGCAGAAACTTTCCGATCCTTAAATAACTGTCGTGGATTGGAAGGGGGTCGATTCATAGGGTGTGCCCAACTACTCACTGTATTGATTCACAATCATTTTTTGGAAAGTAGACAAGATATCCTATCATCGCTTCTCCACGGTGTACTCGCCTTTGAAAGAATTTTTGAGCAAAGAATGGCCAGAGGGGTTACCAAGAAAAAAATGGATAACAGCTTTCAGTAATTTACAGGACCGAGATATTGCTTGGTGTGTTCCTTGGCTTGGATATACCAGTATTTTATTTAGATACGGAGATCTTGACAATGTCCCTTTGTTGGGATTATGGGGAGGAGTCAGCTATGCCCCGTTAATGGTTTTCAGACAGTATAGAGCTCGCCAATTTGTTCCAATTACAAGCGGCTTGAATGAATCTGGAATCACTTACCGTGGAGACCATTACAAGAAGAGAGCACGAGATTTGTCTCTTGCATGGAAAAGAACTTTTCGAACAAAAGTTGTGTCCGGAGATGTTATGTACACACCAGACTATGAGGCTTGGAGATTTACAAGGAAAAATGAAAATGTCCCTTTGCCAGATCAAGGAAGAGATATCCCTTGGGAAGAACATATCAAAGTGGTACCTTCACAGGCTGAGATTCTCAATGCTGAATTTGAAGCTGAAAAGAAAAAATGGGACAAAGCAATGGAAGAGGGAAGACAAGAAAAGTTCATGATATATCTTGATAGGGATCTCCATGCTAAACAATGTGAGTTGTTGAGGAAAGATAAAGAGAAAGTTAATCTCGAGCTGGCTAACTTAAAAAGGGATTTTCGCAACCTACAAAAGGCAAAGAAAATATATGGATCTAGCAAGACATCACAACAGTGGGCTAAAGAATTGGCAATTGAGAAACGACGTGTTCAAAGTCAAGAGGCTGAGAACAAATGCCAACTTAGGAGAATTGAAGTCGAGAAGAAATTGCGGGACAAGTATAAAACTGAGAAAATAAAAGTGGCTAAGCAGCTTAAGATTGAAAGCCGTAAAGCTGAGAAGTGGAAGGCTGAGAAGGAAACTAGCTTGAAGGAATGGGGAGTAGAAAAACATCGAGTCTGTGGTTTGGAAGCTGAAATGAATAATATACTGGAAGAACTCGAGGCCAGGGATCAGAGGATTCAAGAATTAGAGGAAGAAAAAGAACAAAAGAAAAAGGAAATGTGGACTGAGAGACAGGGATGGAACCAAATTCTTGAAAGAAAACAGGCCGAAATTGGGTCTTGGATGCAAAGATTTCAAACAAAGAGCAGGAGACTGGAGCAATTAACAGAAGAAATGGAAGATTTACAGACTAGTTTTGAAGAAGAGTTGAATCAGTCTCGAGTTATGAATGGTGAGCTCAAAGATTATATCTCACATCTTGAGGATTTCTTACTTCAAGTGCAAGTGCCACATGAATGGATGAACTTAAGGCTTACTCGTGAGGAGAATAATTCTCTACGAGAGCAAGCCAGAGGATTAGAGAGTGAGTTTCAACGCTATCGAGTATACATTACCAGTCTTGAGAGGGAAATTACTCGAATAAAGGAGGGATGGAAGGACACATATGAACACCATCGAATGTTGGTTGAGGAACGTGAGCGTATGATGGGCGAAGCAATAGCACAAATGAGCGAGGTGGCCCACTATACACAAGAATTAGCCAACAGGGCTGAAATTATTCTATTTCGTACTAGTTTATCCTCTGAGTATGAGGAAAAGGTCGTTGGTATCATGAATGAGATCATGGAATTAAATAATAGAGCCAAACTATATTTGTAGAATTGATATTTCTTGTAAAGATGAAAGCTCTTTTGTAAAAATGGAACTTTTCTAAGAATGGTTACTTTTGGAAATCGATGCCTTTTGCATTTGCATTTTGCATTTGCATAATAAAATGCATTATTACCAATAAAATGCATCATTTATAACACATCACTAATAATATGCAAGAATAAAGAAATTAATTTTCTAAGGGTTATGTGACAGAGAGATTCTGGCAAGTGAAAACACCAACCCTTATCATACACGAAGTAAGACCATGGATGCTAAGATTGAGCAGTTGAAGAAAGAAATGCAAGAAGAATTACTTAAGATACAACAAGAATGGCACTCGAGAATGGAGCAATCACAGAAATCAATTATAGATCAAATCTTGCAAGGTTAAGCCAATATGATGAGTGATATGATGACTAAGATGTCTGGGTTACGTATTGAAGCAGCTAAAGAGTTGAGTCCTACTTCGGTTGGGGTTTTTGGACATGATTCTACCCCTACATTAATTATTTCCCCTGAAAAGTTTGTTGAGCACCCTGTAAGGTCTTCAGCAACAAAGGTTCAAATGGCAGGTACAACTAACTCTCAAAATAGACCTCATGAATATATGGATGTAGATCCTGAGGAAATAGAGAAATCTAAAATTGAGGTCCCAGAATATCTAAAGGATTGGTGCAAAGGGTTTCTTAAAGAACTAGGAAAGCAGAATTCTCAAGATGGAATGGAGGCAGAAGAACTAAGTCTAGTACCAGACTTGATTTTACCACCAAAGTTCAAAATGCATGAATTTGAAAAATATGATGGAAAAACTTGTCCGGTCGCTCATTTGACCATGTTTTGTCGAAGAATGACGGGATTGGGGAAAGATGATGGACTGTTAATTCATTGCTTCCAAGCCAGTTTGACAGGGGCACCTGCTAGATGGTATAACCAATTGACTCGAGCTAAAATAGGGTCTTGGAAAGATTTGGCCTACACATTTAAAGAACAGTACCAACATGTTACTGATATGATGCCTGATCGTGTTACTCTTCAAAACATGGAGATGAAGCACAATGAGACTTTTCGTCAATATGCTTAGCGCTGGAGGGATATTGCCGCTTAAGTACACCCACCACTTATTGAGAGGGAGTTTATAACAATGTTCATTGATACATTAAAATCTCCCTATATTGATCATATGTTAGGAGTAGCGACTAAGAGTTTCTCTGATATCATAATGTGCGGTGAAATGATCGAAAGAGCACTAAAGAAGGGACAGATTGCTGGTAGCCAAAATCCTGTAAAGAAACCTTTCATGAAAAAGAAAGAAGGAGAGGTGAATAATGTAAATTTCTCTGTAAGTAAGACAAAGACAGGAAATTTTTCATCGCCAAGAGAAACTAAGCGCGAGCATAACAATGAAAGAATGAGCGTTCACTCCTATACCAATGACCTACAGTGAACTTTTCCATGGATTAGTCCAAGCTCATGTAGTGTCACCAAAATATCTAGATCCAATCAAACCACCTTATCCAAAGTGGTTCAACGAAAATGAGACATGTGAATATCAAGCAAACCTCCAAGGACATAATATTAAAAAATGTCTTGCTTTCAAAAGAGTGGTTGAGGATTTGATTAGGAGAAAAGTAGTGTCATTCAATGACTCAGAAACACCTTGTGTAACTACAAACCTGCTTCCAAATCATCAGAACCAGGGAGTGAATTCTATTGAAGAGAATAGAATAATTAAAAAGAGGGTTGAAGAAGTAAGAATGCCATTAAAGTGGGTTTATGTTCAAATAAGGAAGAGAGGGTTGTTGGGTCCTATAAAGAAATATTCAATTGAAAGGACAGAGAACTTATGTGATTACCATGAGGAAAATTGTCATCAAATTCAGGATTGTCAGGAATTCAGGCAGATAGTCCAAGAATGGATGGACAAGCAGGAGTTACAGTTCTTTGAAGAAAGAATGATAGAGAGTGAAAGAAATATCTGCGCTTCTGAAGAAAGTTCAGGAGAAATTGAAAAGAAATTAAAGAAGTCTGTCTTGGTCATATCCAAGCCAAATTATAAGGCAAGCATTGGAAGTAAAACATCCAGGGTAGTGATTAAAACCCCAATACCTTTTGCCTACAAGAGTGACAAGAGCGTTCCCTGGAATTATACATGCCAAATTAATACTCCAGAAAGCAAGGAGGAAGATATTGATGAAGTTGGATTTTTCACCAGGAGTGGAAGATGCTATGCTTCTGGAAAAGCCAATAAAACAAGAGCTGTGGTTATTGATAACACTGAGGAAAAAATAAATGAACCTGTTAAGATTGAGGAGGCTCAGGAGTTTTTAAAATTTTTTAAACACAACGAGTATAACATTGTGGAACAACTTCATAAGACCCCAGCACGAATTTCAATGTTGTCTCTCCTATTGCATTCTGAGGTACATCGAAATACTCTGATCAAAGTGCTAAATGAAACTTTTGTGGGGAAAGACATCGCAGTAGAGCGTGTGGACAGGATGGTCAACCATATTAATGCAGATAACTTCATTTATTTCTATGATGATGAAATACCTGAGGAAAGAAAGGGTAGATGCAAGGCACTACACATTACTACCCATTGCAAAGGGGTTATAATTTCTGGGGTTTTAATTGATAATGGGTCGGCTTTGAATGTTATGCCATTTGCCACTCTGAATAGACTTCCTATAGATGCTTCTCAAATGAGGGTTTATGGCAATGTTGTGAGGGTGTTTGATGGGACGGAACGTAAAATAATGGGGAAAATGATTATTCCTCTCAAAGTTGGCCCTACGACGTTTGAAATAGAGTTTATTGTCATGGATATACATTCAAGTTACAATTGCTTATTAGGGAGACCATGGATTCACATGGCTGGGGCAGTTCCTTCTTCTCTTCACCAAAAGCTTCGATTTATCGTGGACGGGACTCTAGTAACCATCAAGGTAGAAGAAGATATCATTGCCTCTATCACTACTGATGCACCATATGTAGGGGTAGATGAGAACGCACTAGAGTCTTCGTTCCAGTCTTTGGAATTTGTCAATGCCACCTTTATCCCTGAAGGCAAAAGAATTCCCATTCCTCAGCTTTCAAATAATACAAAGATGCAGCTAAAAGAGACAATAGCTAGAGGAGCAAAAGTAGGGAAAGGGCAAGGTAAGAAACTGCAAGGCATCATTGAAGGTTTGAATTCAATTCTTAAAAGAAATTATTTTGGCCTCGGATACAAGCCAACTTACTATGATAAAGTCATAGATGCACAAAAGCTTAGGGAAAGAAAGAAGGCGAGAGCCCAAGGTGAGGATGTTGTTTGGGGTCCCATGATCATACCACCACTCTTCAAATCTTTCGTGTCTGGAGGATTTGTGACTGACATACTGCAACAGTCAGGGGAAAGTGAAGAAATAGGAATTGGAAGCCTGAGCATCAATGCAATCATGGATGATTCTACTGAAGAATGCTCATTGGCATCAATTCGTCCATGTCCTCTTGATTATGTTGAAAGCAACTATATTGTTGAAGAACTCCCTGTGTTCTATAAGCACTTTTCAGAGTAATGCATAAATAACAAATCTGTCTTTTAACCCAAATATAATGGGACTGTTGTTATTTGTCATGGTTTTAATAAAGTGATGTTTTCTTTTCATTTTCTTCATAGTAAATATTGCATTCACTTATTTAAATTTTTATTTTTTATTGATAATTATTATTTTGAAAAATATTAAACGAAATTTTTGTCTATAGCCAAATATATTTTTTTCCATTCGCAGGTACTCAGATATTAACTGTTCAAATAATGATATTCCCAAACCACAAATTGATTTTAAAAATGACATGTGTCTTGAAGAATCTGAAGGTTATAAGGATGATGAGGAATGTGAGTTAAACTCTGAGCTTGTTAGAATGATGGAGCAAGAAGACAAACAAATATTGCCTCATAAACAGAAAATTGAAATAATAAATTTGGGAACAGAGGAAGACCGAAAGGAAGTCAAGATTGGCACTTCGCTCTCACAAGAAATAAGAGAAGATCTTATACGCCTTCTAAGAGAATACAAAGATGTGTTTGCCTGGTCTTATCAGGACATGCCCGGGTTGGATACTGACATTGTTGTACACAAGCTACCGATAAAATCAGAATGCAAGCCTGTTCAACAAAAACTTCGAAGGATGAGGCCAGATATGCTATTAAAGATAAAGGAAGAAGTAAAAAAACAGTTTGACGCTGGTTTCTTACAAGTGGCTAAATACCCGGAATGGGTAGCAAATATAGTGCCAGTGCCAAAGAAAGATGGCAAGGTTCGAATGTGTTTTGACTACCAAGATCTCAACCGAGCAAGCCCCAAGGATAATTTTACACTGCCACATATTGACACATTGGTTAACAATACAGCTGGTCATGCTCTCTTTTCCTTCATGGATGGTTTTTCAGGGTATAATCAAATCAAAATAGACCCTAAAGACATGGAGAAGACAACGTTCATGTCAATGTGGGGCACCTTTTGTTACAAGGTGATGCCCTTTGGACTTAAAAATGCAGGGGCAACATATCAAAGAGCCATGGTTACTTTGTTCCACGATATGATGCACAAAGAGATAGAAGTATATGTGGATGATATGATTGCCAAATCACAAACTGAGGAAGAACATGTGAAGGCCTTAAGGAAGTTGTTCTTGAGGTTGAGAAAATACCAGCTCAAACTTAACCTAGCCAAGTGCACTTTTGGAGCTACTTCAGGGAAATTATTGGGATTTGTAGTCAGTGAGAATGGGATAGAGATAGATCCTGATAAAGTCAAAGCAATATTGGAACTACCAGCCCCTAGAACGCAAAAAGAAGTACGAGGGTTTCTAGGGAGATTAAATTATATTGCTAGATTCATCTCTCAGTTAACTGAGAAATGTGATCCAATTTTCCGTTTACTAAAAAAACAAAACCCAGGAGAGTGGGATGACAGTTGCCAAGAATGTTTTGACAAAATTAAGAGTTATTTGACTAATGC